GGATGGAGTGAAGTCTTGAGGACCACGGGGAATGAGAAAGAGGGCTGGGAGCAGACTCCCCAGAGGTGTGGACCTGTGAGCCAAGTAGACGCTCTCCATGTCATCAAGAGAAGGCCATCCAGGCAGAACGGAGAGGACACCAGTGTGGCTGGAGCCAGTGGTCTAGGGGAAGTGCTCAGGAGATGAGGTCAGTGAGAGAATGAAAGGGGTTCTGAAAAATGGGGAGTTCTAATGTTCCTTATCCCTCCCTAGAGCCTCCCTGGAATCCACACCCAGAACAGTTAAATCAGAACCTTGTGGGGCAGAGCTCAGCATCCACTTATTTTTTAAGGCTCCCCCAGTGAGACAAATGTGCATGAGAGGTGATGGGTTGGGGAGAAGGGTTGTCATAGAACGCCTCTCAAGTTTGGGTTATGCAAGATGATTAAGGTCCAGTACCTAGTTAACAATGTTGTGTTAGACACTCAGAACTCAAGAGGGTAAATCTCATCTAAAGTGTTCTTACCACAATAAAGGGAAAAGGAATTTAAAAAAAAAAAAAATCAAAAACCGGATGAACCAGGGCTAAGAAACATCAACGCAGGGCCTTTACCTAGACTGAGGCGAGGATTTTAGCACATGGACTACAGAAGGGCTTTAAACTACCTGCTGGGAGTGGAGGGAGATTTTTCAGTGGTTAAGGACATTTGTTTTTATAGAGGACCTGAGTTCAATTCCCAGCACCCAAATGACAGCTCATAACCATCCACAGTACCAGTTCCCGGGGATTGGACCCCCTCTTCTGACCACCACTGGCACCAAGCACACGTATGTACACAGACATACGTTTGAACAGAAGACTCATACACATAAATAAAAACACAATTGAAAAAAAAAAGAAACTATCTGGAAGCTAGATGCAAAGCCAGACACCTGCAGTTCCCTCTACAGGAGGCAGAAAGATCACTTGAGCCCAGAGCTTGAGACCAGCCCAGGTAACATAGCAAGACAGTGTTTCTAAGTACATAAATATCATAAAAACTGGGTTGCATTTCTAAAAGTTCTCTCTGTCGGCCATGGCTGCAGATAGCCCCAAGAGACAATTTTGTTCTTTCAGGAGGGATGACACTGGTCTTCCTCAAGACAAGAGTAAAAAACATGGAGGGGACAGCTTCAGGGCCTGAGGGACTAGACGAAGAGGGTGAAGGGTGATCTGATGGTGGATCCTAGATTTGGGTACCAGTTACCAAGCTCATGCTAAAAGGCCTCCTGGATCCCCTTGTGGAGTTGTCAAATAGGAGGCTGAAGGAATCTGAAGTCCTAGGAGGGCATGACAGGAGCCTGGCACAACAGGGTGTGCTGGGTGCTTGCAGTCTGGTCCTGCTGCCTGGAGAGAGGAAGTGAGTTGTTCTTGCAGATATGTTCAAAGAGAAGCTGCCTTGAAGGGCTTGGGCAGGGTGCTGGGTTCGACTGATAGCCAAGTGTGGGACTCTGACGCTGCCCGTCAGGAGCCTGCATTGAAGGAGCAGAGTTCCATCCTGAGAAGAACTGAGAAAGGGTATAACAGGGCCTCAGAAGCCATGGCAAGTCAGCTCTGCCTTGATGGGGACTGGGTGACACTTCAGAGTTTGGGAGCAGGATTCAGAAGGCTTGTCTGCCAGGCCACTGGCCAGATGGGTGGCATTACTGTAGACTCTGCTCTTGGGTGGATCTCTTGTGTTCCCCTTATAGAGACAGGCAGGTGGGCTTGGGCGCTAGTTGGTACCAAGCTCCCATAGTAAAGAGTTCTGGGCCTGATCCCCTACATAGCAGCCCTCAATATTTCTGCAAAAAAAAACCAAAAACCATTTTTCATCAGCACAGCCTGCTCTCCCAGGTCTCAGAACACACTTAAAGCAAGCTGTAAGTTCCAAGCAATTCCCTGAACGCTTGCTCTCCAAGTCTACTGAGTATTTCCGAATACGAGCGAGAGTGGCATTGCTGGAGGGAGAGCATGGAAGCCGCTCTCTCTAATTTTAAAAGGTGAATGACTTCTCAGTGGGGCTTTATGGTTAGTCACACCTACCTGGGAACCTGCTTTCCTACTGACCTACCACCAGTGGTTAGTACTACTGCCAGTGGGTGTTGCAAACCTCAGCTATTAACCAGAAGCTCAGAGTGGGCCCTAGAGTAGTGTGGGGCCTGAACAGCTCTCATTTAGGAGAAAGGGGTGGAAGAGCCAGCAGCATCTTGGGGGCAGCTACAGGCTACAGATTTGCTAGGGCTAGAGAAAGACCCAGGAGCATCCTAGGGTTCATCAGCTAGCCTGCTCTGCCCCCTCAGAACCCTAGTGGAGCTAGTGTGGAGACTAAAGGACTAGTTAACTGGTGGCCCAGAGTACAGTGCCCTCCTTCACGAGGGTTTTTGTTTCTCAGAGAGGAGGGGGAGGGATGAAGAAGATGAGGAGGAGGATGAAGACAAGGGGGAGGAAGAGGAGGAGGAGGAGAGGAGGAGGAGGAGGAGGAGGAGGAGGAGGAGGAGGAGGGGAGGAGGAGCCAGTCCAGAGTTCCTCAGTACTCTTGTGGAGGAATCAGCAGATCTGCCAAATGGTGGGGAGGGGCACACGGATGGACTCTCCCCCGCCCCCCCGCCCCCCCCCACCCCGCCAGGGGTAGAAGGGCAAATGTATAGAGCTGTATGGGATGCTGGCTTATCAAGCCTTTCACTAAGAACTAGCTCTTTCCTTTCAAAGAGGGTGGAAGTCACTGTTCTCTTGTCTCCGTTGATGAACAGATTCTGGGTGGCAGGAGTCACCATAGAAACAGGTGCTATCTTAAGCAAATGAGCCTTATTAACCTTAAGAGTGGTGGAGTTTTCACAAGATTGCACATATAGGGTAGGAGGGAGACGGGGTTTGGTGGGGGGAGGGTCGAGGTGGCTGGGAAGCCATGTTGCTCCGGGTAGGGAGGCATGTGTGTGTATGTGTGCATGTGTGCGCACTGCATGTGTGGGTGTCCATCATCTACATGTGTTGTGCAAAACTGCTTCTGAGGAGGTAAGCTCAGGTCCTACCCACCCTTTCCCTAAGAAATATGCTGTCTCCCCGGTCCCCTCCCCCCACCCAAGGAACCTTCATCTCCTGGAAAGTGGCCTTAAGGCTTCAGCGGCCCAGAGCTCCAGTCATGACCCTTCTGTTACTGCTTGGGTAGACTTTGCCTGCATCCCCCGCCCTGCTGCCTATTAGAGACAAGTGTTTCTGGAGAGAAAAGCCAGGAAGCGGGACCCTTTTTGCCCTAGGAAGCAGTGTAGTTCAGTAGCAGGAGCAGGAATACTGGCATCTACTGGACCTGGGTCCATGTGCTCACCTCCCTCAGTGAGGCCCCATCTGTAAAGGGCACCTCGCAGGGCTGAAGCCGGGTTCTTATGAGATCACCCAAGTTCACACGGAACATGTACCCTCAGCGCGCGCGCGCGCACACACACACACACACACACACACACACACACACACACACACACACACACCACATACACTGTGAACTGCCTCATTTCTGGGGAGAAAAGGGGGCTCTTTCCAATTCAATATTTCCTCAATAGGGCTTCATCAGTTAACAAACTTGCCTGGGATGCCTGCTCTGTTTGTGCTCTGGAGGCAGGGTGTGTGGCTAGAGGAAGATCAGGATAGAGAAGCTGGCCCTCTGAGAAGCTGTGGTGGTCAGGTAGGCCTAGAAGAGGTGACGCTGGGTGGGGCTTTGAAGTCATGTGGGATTGGGATGGGCAGAGAAAGGGGCCGTACATTCAGCTCTTAGTGGTAAGTGGTAATGAAGAATCCTGAGCCATGAGTGTTGGTTCCAAGACACACATCTGCTGCCCTCTGCAGCCCCTCCTTGGGCAGGACACTCCACGACAACGCCAGCTAGCATGCCACCTGTCCCAGTCCGGCTCCCATTCCTCGGAAGAAATCTGAACCGTCGCCCCAGGGACTCTGACACATGCCATGTGTCCCCTGTAGCCCAAGGCGCTATTTATCAGGGAGACGGGCTAGCAGAGACTGTGTGCCCTGGAAGGACTCTGGGAAAGGGAAATTTTTTATTTCTGTGCTGTAAAGCATCAAAAGTCTCAGGGTTGGGGGGCGGGTAGCTCGGTGTATAAAGTGCTGATACGCATGACCTGAGTTCAAATCCCCAGCACTAGGAGGCAGAGATGAGAGGATCCTAGGCACTTGTTAGTCTGGCGAATCGGTAAGTTCCAGGTTCTGTGAGAAGCCCTGTCTCAAAAAGTAAGGTGGAGAGTGATAGAGGAAGATGGCTGACAGTGACCTACACACACACACACACACGAGTCTCAACACATGCCTGAAACTGGGACAAGGTGGCCACCACAGATGGGCTCTTCCCTACGTCATGTCTTTCAGCTCTCTAGAGCTAGCAGGTACCTCAGGTTCATTTGGTCGAACCCATGAAGACACCGAGACCCAAGGTCCACAACTAAGGAAAGACTTGGTCTCTAGTACCACAGCATTGCTGAGATGAGAGAAACCACCCTCCAGCTCATGTTCACTTGGCCCCGGCCAAGGGATGCAACTTCAGGGACACCAGAGAAGCTTTCCCAGTGCACCCATCTTTTAGCTCCAAAATCATCTTCCCCATTGGCTTAAGAGCTGCCCATGAATGTAGCATGAAAAAACACAGTTGAAGGCCTGGCAGAAAGGACCACTCACAGGAAGAGGCTGTGAACTGACCTGAGCCCCAGACTTAACTTGGCAATGAACAAAACGGGAATGTTGTATGGGCCACTCAGAGAAGACCAAATCAGGAGGCTCTGGCGACGAGTGGGGGTAAAAGAAAAGAGCAGAATGTCACCTTAGTTTGTCTCCCTGCGAAATCTGGTCCTTCCTCTATACCAGTGGCCCCTAGAAGTGATGGTTGCCTGCCTGCCTCCCTTCCTCCCTCCTTCTCTTCCTTCTTCCCAAGGGCATCCAGGTCATAATTTACAGGCATGGCATGGAGAGTTCAATGCCACCTAAAGTTTTTATTACTTACGATTTCAACAGAAGGAGGCCTGCCATGCCGTGTCCCACAAGGCCACATGGGGGAAGTCCCTGGGTGTGTCAGGAAGCAGGGGTGGCAGAGGAGAGTGTGGCCTGGAGCCTTCGCTGTGGTTTCTGTGGGAAATGAACAGCATCAGGGGCAAGCAAGCTCTAACAAGCTCGGGACTGGTGAGCTGGCATAATATCAGTGGGCTCTGGGGCAATAGGGGGGGTATGCTCCAGCTGCCTGGTACCTGCCCTAGGGTGCCACAGGGCAGGAGAATGTTGGCTAGCTATGAGAGAGTTGGGGAAAGGAAGTGATGGGCTTGGGGGCTGGTTGGCGTGTACGTGACAGGTGTGCTTGCAGGCAGATGCCTTACAATCTTTAGGAAGTAGTCAGCCGTGGCAGGAACGTATTCCCAAAACAAGTGCCCCTCAGGGTATCAAAGCATCAACACAAAATGCAGAAGATAAAAAAGTATGGCCAATCCCGCCCCCTGCATCCTGTCTCTCCAAACACTGCTCTTTTGAAATCATTCCGTTCAAAATCCTCTTGTTTCAGATGCCTTCCCTGGGACTCCAGGACCTGGCCCTTCCCCCCACTCCCACTTAGCACAGGCTGTGCCGCACAATTTAGCACCCAATTCCACGCTGTCTTGTTCCCTCGCCATCCCAAGGTGCTTGCCCCAGTTTCCCAGCCCCCCGGGAAGGCTCTGCTTGCCGCATCCCTGCACTGGTGCGTGTCCAACCCTGTACCCTGAGCTCCACTGCATGCATTGGCATCAGCCCTTATCCTGTCTAGAATACCAGTTCCGACCGCGTTGCCTTGGACACTTTTTAATGGGTGGCTAAGCTGGCCTAACGCTGTCCCTCTCAAGAACTGTTCTCTTCCCCAGGTCCTTGTGATTGCACAGGCCTCGTTGAAGTCTTCCCAGTTTCTGCCAATAACCATACACCCTCCAGTGTTGACCACACACCACTGCTCATCATCCAAAACCTCCCCTGCTGCAGTGGTTTGAATGTAATTGGCCCCCATAAGCTCGTAGGGAGTGGCACTACTAGGAAGTGTGGCTTGTTGGAGTAGGTATGGCCTTGATGGGGGAAGTGTGTCACTGTGGGGATAGGCTTTGAGGTCTCCTTAGCTCAAGCTTCACTCAGTGTGACATGAAGTCTACTTCTGTTGCCTGTGAATCAAGATGTAGCAGCTCCTTCCCCAGCACCATGTCTGCCTGCTATGGTGATAATGGACTAAGCCTTTGAAACTGTAAGCCGCCACCTCAATTAAATGTTTTCCTTTATAAGGGTTGCCATGGTCATAATGTCTCTTCACAGCAATAGAAACCCTAGCTAAGACACCTGCCTCCAAACATCCTCCATTCCCCTTCCCCCAAACAGCCTCTTCCTTCTTCTCTCCCACAGCAAAGTGAGTGCTCTGTGGTTTCCAAACCGGCTTAAGCCACAAGATGGCTTCCAGGGAGACCATGAACCTTCCTACCATGAGTTTATTGATTTTAGTGAGATTGCTCATCTTTCTTGCCTCAGTATACTGCCAGTTTAGATGATGAATTGGCTGCATGACCACCAAGGCCCCTTTGGGCATCACCATCTGGGGTATTGACATTGCCTAGATAGCTATTACTTGGCCTAGGCAAGAATGTCTTCTTAGATGGGAACTGTAATGGCTGATTTATTCTTTCCCCAGAGCCAGCACCATATGCTGGGTGGAGAAGCCTTCTTTCCATTCCATGCTATTGGCCATGTTGTTGATAGTTTCAATAGCAAAAAATGACTCAACCCACGCTAGACTGACCAGGCATACACCTCCATTCCCCTATCCCTGCCTTACTCAACTCTCTGCTGGGCATTGTAGGAAGTTATAGAAGGTTAGTATTAAATAGCCTCAAGAGACTCGGAACCCCTCAGAGAAATGAAAGAAACACACATATGCACGCACACACATATGCACAGCACACCATCTGAGAGTTGCTGAGGAAACCAGATGATGCCAAAGACCAATAGCCTGGTACTCATGCCAGTCTAGAATGCTTCTTGTAATCTCTCCTCTGGATTTGCCAACATCTGACTCTCAGTCTCTGGCGACATACAATGTGAAGCCATATATGGACACTGGGTGTCTACCACCTTGAAGGAACTGTATGCTTTGGGCTTGGTAGGATTTGTCTGCTGCTGTTGCAGACACATCGTAAACACTCCACATTGTGGTCCTCTTAACCATAGAACGGCTCTGAAATCACCACATTTCCACATCTAAGATGCACCTCTTAAAATGTTCTTGACACTTAGAAGCACAAAACCCATCATGTTTGTGCTGATACTTACTGCAGAAAATATGATAGATCCATTTATATGTTATACTAGTAAATGGGTATGAAACAGCAAGAAAACATCATCCAATAAATGTGAAAATTTTCAATGAAATGTTTCAGAAAATGAAAGACTTGAGATAGATAACAGATACAAGAATATGTAAGTAGGTAGATAAATATATACATATATGCATAGGTAGATAGATACAGACATGCATATATATATATAAATTAATAAGTTGATAGTCTCTAATTTGTTTGATAAACAATGATTTTATTGGAATATGATATAAAATTTTTAGAGACTGGAGAGAAGATTCAGCAGTTATGAGCACTGGCTGTTCTTCCAGAGGGCCTAGGTTTAATTCCCAGCCCCTACATGGTGGCTAACAACTATATGCTCACTACAGTTCAAAGGAACCTAACACCCTTTTCTGGCCTCCATGGACACTGCATACACACAGTGCACAGACGCACATTCAGGCAAAACACCGATATACATAAAATAAAAATAAATAAATCTTTCTTTAAAATATTTTTATTGGAGTTTAAGGTATCCAGTGTTTCCTAGAAGGAAAAAAAGATTCATAAGAAATGTTCAAGAAAATTTTGTAAATGAGGACTAACGGGAGGGGGTCAGATGGAGCAGTTTTACTGACGTTGATGCATATAGTTAAACTGCAGCAGGTGTAAAGGGTAGCTGTGGTGGGAAAATACACAGACATATCCTTGAGATGGAACAGAAAGATCTGGAACCAACTAGAATACTCAGCACAGGTTGAATAGGCCATTGCAAGCAGAAGAGAGAAAGGATAGATTACCCTATAAGAAGCTTTAGGGAAATATTATGTTAGCCAAGACTAGCTAAACCTACCTCATGAGTTTCAGGTCATTCCGGACAACTTACTGGGACTATGTCTCAAAACATAAAGAATTTAGGAGGCACTAGGTCTGTAGCTGGGTGATAGAGCACTTACCTAGCATAGGGAAAGCCCTGGGTTCAATTCCCAGCACAACAACAAGGGTATCGAAGTTCTTTCTCATCCCATAATCAAAATAAATTCTAAATTAACTATGTGAAATTAGATACGTGAATGTTAACTTTTCATGTTAAACCATAAACAAATAAAATGCGCTAACATTTTTATATAGTTGTTTAAAACCTTGAAACTGTAAGTATAAAACCTTCAAAGGCCAATTAAAAGACAATGCACATTGGAAAAACACTATGTACAGATGACAAAATGTCACTGTCATGGACATACACAGCACTTACAGTGGCCTAATCAGCCCACGTGCCTCATGGGCTGTGGCAGGAAGAAAATGAGAAGCATGTAAAATGCTCAGGTCAGTATCTGGAACAGTAGGCACTCAATTTCAGCAGTTATCAGTCTATTTTAGCACTTGATAGAAAAACATCACACTAGCCGGGCGGTGGTGGCGCACGCCTTTAATCCCAGCACTTGGGAGGCAGAGCCAGGCAGATCTCTGTGAGTTCGAGGCCAGCCTGGACTACCAAGTGAGTTCCAGGAAAGGCGCAAAGCTACACAGAGAAACCCTGTCTCAAAAAAACCGAAAAAAAGAAAAGAAAAAAAAAAGAAAAAGAAAAACATCACACTAAACAATTAGCAAAGGACATAAATAAGATGTTTTGGATGGGGCTGGGGATGGGACCCAGAGCCTCATGAATATTAGGCAACCACCCTGCTGCTGAACCACACCCCCCACCCCGGAAAATTCTGTTTAGAGTAAAGCTTCATAAATCTATGAAAAACGGACATCCACACAGGCAGTGAGAAATGCAGACCAAGCCAGAAATCACCTACTTTCCAGCCTCATGGTGACTATGACCATTAAACTGGCAATTCTTGAATGTGGCTTTGTTTTAAAATCAATCAATTAATTAATTAATACCCAGGGTCCTCTCATACGGTGCTGATGGGAGTAAAAATTGCTGAGATCCATCCTACAAGGTAATTCTGCCTGATGCACCAAATGTCAAATGCCTTTAAAATATATACAGGCTTTGACCCAAGGTTCCTTCTAGAAATCTGTACAAAAATTATATTGAAAAGTGATATCTACCAAAATAAAATTGGCCATGTTAAGTGCTGGGCTTACTCAGAAAATTATAGATGGTGTGAACAGTGTATCATCTACAATTCATTTCCAGGTAGCTTATACTACTTACAAATTAGAATGTCCCAATACCAAAAAAAAAAAAAAAAAAAAAAGCTAAAAATTAGAAATGACCTATTTACCCATTGAGAGGATTGGTGTGTGGAATAGTATGCAGCTATTAAAATAAGCACAATATAAAAGGACCTCATTTACACCACATTGCTATGTGAGATGAAAAAGCCAATTAAAAGTCATTAAGATTTGGAGCTGGGGTGCATCTCAGGTGGCAAAGTGCTTGCCTAGCATGCACAAAGCCCTGGTTTCTATTTCCAGCACTACATAAGCTGGCTGTGGTAGTGTGTGTGTCTCTGATCTAAGCGAAAGGAGATGGAGACAAGAAGATCAGACGTTCAGGGTCATCAGCAGCTGCAGAGCAAATTAGATACGGATCTGGGATAAACAAGGCCTGTGCTCTCAAAACAAAAACAATACGAGTCACTCGATAGATGTTGGGCGTAATTGTGCACATCTGTAATCCCAGTGTGTGGGAGGCTGAGACAGGAAGATTCCAAACTCAAAGCTAGCCTGGGCTACAAAACAAGGCACTGTCTCAAAAAGAAAAAACAGTTAATAATTCGTCAAAGAACACTCAGGGAATGTCTACAGGTACATCCATGAAGGACACTG